GGCATTCCCCCGGAGGAGCTGGAGGAAGTGTCTGGAGAGAGGGAAGTCTGGGCATCTTTGCTTAGACTGCTGCCCCCGCAACCCGGTCCCGGATAAGCGGAGGAAAATGGATGGATGGATGGAGACGATGAATTAAACATCAATCATCCAGAGGTGATGTGACGCCAGAGGGTATCAGCTTCCTCCACATTACAAACATTTCTCCAGTGCTGATCACTGACTGTATATAAAAGATGGACAAACCAACCGTGACGTCACCCGTTGGTTTTCTGAAGAGCGGATGAACCATCACCATATAGGTAGCGCTTCACCCGTCTGCTAGGTCTAATCCAAAACGAAGAGGCGGAGCGTGAAGGGGACTCACTAGACAGCTAGCGGCCAGCCACCTACGGCAATACCCTCCTGCCTGTCACTCAAAGCGGCAACACCCTTAATTGTGCATAACTTTTAGTCTCAATATAATTTAAACAGGCAAGTTCTAAAAAAAAATACAGTTGTCATGGGAGGAGAAATAAGCTATAGAGGCCTAAACTGTTTTTGTACCAGGCTTTATTTAGTTGGGCATTTAACAAGGGGATCTATGGGGACTGACTCCCCTCTGGAGCCTCGAGTGGCCACTTGAGGAACTGCAGGTTTTGGCACATCCGCATTGGCTTTGTTTCTCAGCCTCGTTGGCCACCGCTAAGCATAGAGAGCCTAATACTTTCTACTGCTACTTTTACAAATATCAGAGTTTACTGGTACCAAAGGCCTCCAGGAAACAGCTTGGACACTGACACTTTCACCTCCTAAAGCCTGCTCAGATTTTATGTTAGCCATATAAATGGAAGCACAACCACCTGAGCTAGCTAGCTGAGCTAGACAGCTAGAATTAATGCCTCCACCAGTCAGTCAAATTCTTGAGAATGGACAGACACGAGGATACAGTGACCTCTGACCACCAACCTGTAATCAGTTCATCCTTGGGTCCAAGTGGATGTTTGTGCTAAATTTGAAGAAATTCCCTCAAACTGTTCCGGTGAAATCACATTGACCAGAACGGGCTGGAAGAACCATCTGTATATAGCAGGGAGGAGTGGAGGCACAAACACAACTAAGAAACACTTATTAGAAACCAGTTATTAGTCTAACATCACGTGCACCGCGTCAGGCTGATTAACTTGACAGCCTCACAGTGAAGCTGCTGCTGAAGCTGAATCAAACAGAGTCGTGAGTCATAGCAGCCTTTAAGCCTTTGCTCTCCTCCCGTGTGGATTCTGTAGGTTTACAGCCTGGTTGGCTGCTGCTCAGCAGTCTGTCAGATTAGCTCCAGCACTTTCTCCAGCAGCAACAGATTTCCCAACACCTCAGTCTGAGGATTAGAATGGCAGCTCAGGCTCGATGAGAGAATATACAGCTCTCTGCAAGGACTGTGTGAAAAGTAGGCAGAGCTAGTAAACTAATCTTTAGTTAGAGATTATTCTGTCAAACTACTATTTCCAAGGTCACGCTCAGTTCTGAGAAACTGTTCATGGAGGTATCACTGACGATCCACCTCGGAGACTGTCCATTCCAGCTCCTAAAATATCACCAACACGGCCTAAAAATTATTCCAAAGTTACTTAAACCTTTACAGAAACTATCCCAGGAATAACCCTAAAAAAGTCCATGAATACAAGCCATCATGTCACCTGTTAGCATGCTAAAACCTGTTAGCATGCTAACAGGTGTTAACTACCTGAAAATATTTGGCCATAAACAAAAGCCGTGGACAAAATAATTGGTGATGAAATGTCAGAGTTTCAGAATTTATTCTCAACTCCAGAACCAGCATCTGATAAAACTTTCAAATGAGACTACAGCATTTTTTAATAAACAGTCGCCATAAATGACAATTACAGCATGTTAGTAAATGCTGAAAGGTAGTGTTACCCAGAAATGACTGTTAAAATGTACCAAGACAATCAATGAATGCCCTAAAATCTACCTATAATTTACCCATAAATACTCCAGAATGTATGAAGAGACCATCCAGAAATCTGACCATAAACTGCCAATAAACCATGAGAATATCTACAGACCTTCGTAAAACATCCTAGAGTCTACTGAGAAAAAATTATTAGCCATGAACTGATCAAGAAATAACCAATAAATATCAAAGAAGAAGAAATATACCTGTAATTTACCAATCCAACAATCCACCCAGTAAATAAAAGTCAGTAAATGGAACCAGTGTATCCATAAACCATCCAGGACCACAGGTGCTGAGACCTGGTCCAGCCCAGTCAAACTCCCTCTGTACTGTTTACCAAACAGTAAACACGTGTTTGTGTGTGGGCTGGGTGGGGGGGGAGGGAATGAGGACCCCCCCCACATTGCTGTGGCTCAGAAATGCGTCAGAAGTGCTTTTTGAACAATAGCATGAAAACCCCAGCAGCCCTGGCACAGGTTTGGGCTCTGCTGTGCCAGAAACCAGCGGAGAAATCAGCCCAAGCCTCTTTCACGGCTTCACCGAGCGACTAAAGGGCCTTTTCTCCAAGTTTACTGCCTTTTGCTTTTTACAGCGTTTACAGGCAGGGAGGGTCGGACCAGGGCAACGCTGGCCAAGCATCGCTCTTCTCTGGGGTTACCATGGAGACAAAGCAAAGTCGAACAGACGATCCCAAACAACCTCTAAAATGTCATCCTGCTGTGTCGTCAGCGGAGTTCCACGCAGGTCAGGGGGTCGGGCACCGCAGCCTGGCCACAGTCTGCTGAGACCTGGGGGGAGAACCAGCAGGAGACACGAACACACACAGCTGGTTGCCCGCAGGAGAACCCATGGGCGGAGTCAGAAACTACAGAACCCTGGGCACAGACAGGCTAAAGGCCCCCAGCCCTCCTCCACAGGACCCCCAGACAGATGTGGCCTCATCGTCTGGAGTCGTTTTGTGTGTGTTGCCTTCATGGTTTAGATTTACTGAGCTGCAGACTTGTTCATGAATTGTCTTCTGGGACTTATAACTTAGAGAACTTATAAGACACTTTAGCAGTAGATGTGTCTTCTGCTATAAAAGCTGACAATTAACCAAAATAAAAGCATTTTGGTGGATTTGAGCTTTGCTGAATTTACCAGAAAACCACGTCGTCTACAGAAAGGACAAATACCAGGTTGCACAAGGTGCATGTGTCCGCCAGTAAGCAGCACAAGATTAAACGGGTAGATTTCTGAATGGAGTCTGGTGTGGTGCCATCTCCCTTGCAAACAAGCAAATAAAGAACAAGCTCATTTGTCAGAGACGCTGCTGTTGCTCTCAGGCAACACACCCGTGTGACAGGACCCAGTTAAATCTAAGGAGTTGTAACGTCCACATGTGATCACCAATTAGTTGAGTTAAAAATAAGACTGACAGTTTTCCTAGCGAAGTGCATGTGCAGTTAGTGAGTTTCTTGTGTCGATAGCTTTAATTGGATGTTGACGTGTCATGAGTTTAAACAGCCCGAGGCCTGAAAACCTGCAGCGATGGAGAAAAACCTTTTTCCACCTGCAGCTTGTGATTCTGTACATAGTCATAAATGAAAAACAGCTTAGTGAAGATTAATGACTGGATCAATCGATTGGAAAATGAATTGATTACAATATTTAACTGGTTGATCGTTTTAGTCCTTGTAATGAGTGAAAACACCAAACGTCTTCCTGCATCTCTGTCCACTGTGAACTCAGGGTGCAGGGTTTTCTTTGTTGCCGTTTTGTGGCTGCAGCGATTAGTTAATATGTTGAGAATTCAGCCTCTGTTTAAGCAAAAGGCCAGATATTCACTGGTTCCACTCGTTTTCTGCTCTTACACGATAGCAAACGGAATATTTTTGTTTTAACTGTAACATTGGATAAACCAAGATATTTGAAATGCCACCATGAGCTCCTGTGATCGGCATCTCTCTCTGCCCAAGGACAGTTTATAGACTAAACATCTGATAACGAGAATATTAAGATTATTCAATAATGAAAACAGAAAACTTAGTTGCAGCCCAAAAGAGTTTGACTCCTGAGACTCAAAGAATCATTACAAAAGTGAAACCACACAAGATTTTACTCTAAAGGTGACAAATAAATATGCAGATTAGAGGAAGACCGTAGCAACATCACATGACCAAAAACAGCAGAAAGGGCTGGAGAGGCAGCACAGATACTGCAAACGACAGCACAGGAAACACTGCAGATGAAACGCCAGAGGGTCACTGTAGAAACAGCACAAAACATAAAGTACCAGCGTAAGCAGTAACAACACTAAACAGCAAAGGCGTGCCACACATCAGGTCAAGAATAAGACGCCACGAACACAGAAAACAAGTAAAACTCACAGGAATACTACAGATGAAACACCATAAACTCAGCAGCAAACAAAGTGTGGGTCTCTGTAGAGTGACTGTATCAAGTCACACCACAAAATCACTATAGGAAAATGTTAGGAACATAATTACAACACAACAGAAACACTGTGGTACAAGAGAACCAGCAGTACAGCTTCTTATAGATGAATAAATATTTGTTTAGTTTATACTGGCCAGGTAAATATACAGACACTGTTAAACAGACTATATGAAAGACAAACTGTAGGAATTCTCTGGAAATGTCATTATGTCTTAAAGTGTCATCAAACCAACATCACAGTGATGAACCAGACACATTAACCATAAACCTCTAAACAAATATGACATGAAAGTCAGTTTAAGTATCACACAGACACAGCCGACACATTTTAGAGACCAGACACTACCACTTTACGTCAGGATAAGAATATTACAGAAGCTGGATGTAGCTTTATTCCACGAAGCTGTGGAAATCTGAATGGAGTCTGGTTGGTGTGACGTGCCACCGTGTTTAACAGCTCGTTAGCCAACGGAGAACACTTCCAGCGCCGAAGTGAACCGACAGTCACACAGAAATCAACCGAGATCAAAACCCAAGCAGCGTGTGGGGATGTTGTTACCATCAAAACTTACCGGAGGGAACGTCTCCAGCGGCGCCGACGCTCCTACGCGAAACCTCCAGTTAAAAACAAGCAGATTTACAGGAAAACCAGATGAACTGATCCCGTTTGACTCCGGGTCGCAACCACATGCAGCGTGTGATGTTCGTCAGACCGACACACAGACACCGGCGGTGTGCGCATGCACGCCCGTGCGTGCATGTGTGTGAAAAAGAGAGAGAGAGGTGGGGACGCGTCAGGCTGCGCATGCGTGATCACTCAGGTGGACTGGAAAGCGCTGCCACCTGTTACGAAACATGAGCACACACAGTTCATTTTATATTAAAGGACCGTGTGAGGATGTCGTGTACAGTTAACAAACATCCGAGTGCGTGCGTGTGTGCGTGTGCGTGTATGGGTGTGTGTGGTCCAGATAAGCTCTACCAGCCCCGCCCTTGGCAAGAACAGGCTTCCCTCTGACAGGGTGACCCGTTCATGTCTGTTTAACATTTTTTAATAAAAGAAGGGAAACATGATCAATAAACAAATAAAAATCAATAGGAACAGGTCAACAGGTCACAGCACAGTGTAATTCTGAGGTTTCTGTTCTTCAATAGAGGATTTCCATCTTCTGCTACTTCATACTTCAGTTTCTCTGCATGTCAGAGACGAATCGTTGACTTTTCACTGCACTACATGTATTTGTTAACTGTAGTTTCTCTTCAGGGTCAGACGAAACAAACAAAACACAGCAGATTGATCAGTTTATTGATCCCTGATTGGAAATCCACCAGCTAGCCAGCAGGATGTAAAGTGCTTCACATTATAAGTGTAGTTACCTTCAGCTCCACCTTTATCAGCTGCATGGATACAAACATCAGTCATTATAATCCAATAACATGACAGACATCAATGTGAAATGTACCATTCTGCAGAATCAGTCATTTTACAGCATGTTATTTCTATTTTTACTTACTCTGTGTACTTCTTACTATAGTTTAGTTGGTCTCCAATGGAGCATATTCCTGAATAAAGACATGTTTAATCAAATTACCACAAATAGAGACAGGTTAAATTAGTTTTTTAAGTGAATGCTCCCTGCTCTGTGCTAGTGTCAGGGTACCTGTGACCTTCAACCTTCAACAGAGACACTACTCTGTACAAAGACCTTTTACATGGATGAATGAACAAACCACTTAAAAAGAAAACATAAAAACTGTGGGATGGTCTTTGTTGTGGCAAAGTCTGGTGTTGAAATGTTTGGGAAAATGAGCAACAGTCATGCATGCAACAGTCGAGCCCAGTCCATGTGTTGGCGCCTCTCTTTAAGGCAGTTAGAGCAACAGAACCACAACCAGCCCAGTCTTACACACAGACACGCTCAGTGCATGCGGATCCTACCGGAACATTGAAAAGCACTAAATACCATGTACTCATACATATTATGTCTTCATGATTTCTCTTGGTAAGAAAAGCATTTATGATGCGATTCCTCTAAAGTGGAAACTGAAAGACATCCAATCTACCAGCGTAACATGTTAGTGACAGATGCGTGCCATTAAAAATTTGAGCTGAAAATCAAACCAGAGAATCTCTGACACTGTCCGTCATCAGGTAAAATCCATAAAGACAAGCGGCTCCATGTTCTCACCTGGGAAACACCAACCGTTCAGGAGAAGCCAGCAACTTCCTCCACGGTGTCACCTCAGTTTACCATCTGTGTTTATAGGGTTAATAAATCAAACTAACAACTTTATATTTTTACTCTCAAATGATTTAATTGGTGCTTTGTGTCATACAAACATTTTCAACAACGTTAAAACATAAATGTGAATTTTGGTCCTTGTTTGGCGTTTACAACTCAAACAGAAACAAAACTCTTTTATCCTTTAGCCCTGTGTTTTGGTCCGGCTGGTATAGGTTTACATCAGACTGATCCGGGGTCAGCGGTCCACTTCTTAAATGGTTTTTATAAAGGTTTATTGCATGAGATCAGCTTGTTGGAGGAAAGCCAGGGGATAACCAACGGTGCTGCAAGAGCTGCTGGGAAAAACCCAAAAACTCTAGGTTCACTTACTACCTTCTTTACCTCATGGCTTTCCAACATGTCTCACAGTCTTCCTCAGCACAGACCCTCTTCTGGAGCTTCAGTTACCAAACGACAGCCACTGAAGAAGACCAGATGCCCCTGAAAGTTCAGGAAAGCAGCTAATAAATGGACCTGGACTTGAGTTTGTTTTTTTTACTCAAGATCAAAAGCCTCACATTGAATAACATCTATCCACTGAGGAAGAGGCACTGCATTAAGATTTCTTTACCACTATTGACTCTGGAGTACAAATGACAAACAACAAAAACAATGTTTTAGTATTTAAAAAGGTTTTATCACCTGAAAATAAAATAATAAAATCCAAATTTAGCTTCGTCCTCTCTAACTGGCCTCTAAGAACATCACAGAATCAAGTCTTTTCATTTTTATATAGAGTGGAACTTCCCTTTAAGGCAACACTGAACTCCGGTGAGAGTTTTTCAAAAGACACAAGGAAACAAAGTCATTGGCATCGTAAGCATCCTTTTTAAAATGAGTTGCTTTGGGATCGTTCCATGGAAACAGCCACATTCATTGCATAGTTGTCGTTTTTGTCGACAAACAAAAACAGCATCATGGGACATATTTAAGGCAGATTCAGCTTTGAATAGAGTGCAAAGGTCACAGGAGGTGGATAAAATTTCAGGAATGTTTTAGTTCATGATGGAATCAAACTCAGCACTGACTCAAAACCATTTAAGGTTAATCAACCAGTAAATGGTTGAGGGCGAACAGGAGAAAAGGAAAAACGTATTCAGCATTTTCAACTAAACAGACTTTAGCAACATTCCAAAACTAATAATAAGACAACCCAAAACGTTCCACACCAACAATAAAGACAATAATAGATGAAAATGGGTCACATTCCTTGAGTTGCAGAAGAAGAACAGTCCAGAACTCAGCTGGTTTCCTGGCTTATTTCATTAATCTGACTGATGACAATGGAGTGTAAATGAAGTGTAACACTGGAGTGTGCTGAGAAGTACAAACCTGTGTTGTGTTTGCTACTTCTTTTTAAGGCGCATCTCTGTAGCATAGTGGATAAAATAAAAAAAAAGTTTACAGACTAACAATGACATAGGACTGAATTAAACAAATGATAAAGAAACACAAATTTTGGCTACAGATGAAATGTTAGGACCAACCTTTCCTAACCAACAAAACAAGGCAACAAGTAGACATACTGTACTGCAATATTTTTGGCAAGTAGCTAATTGCTCTCAACATGTACTGAGCTTCTTGTCATGTAACCAGCATCAGCAGCAGTGATAGAGTTTGATTGAAGAGAGCAAGCAAACAGTGAAATCATGGCTACTGATTGTAAACCAAAGTCGGAAATGACGAGGCACCCAGCACCAGCATCAGCAGCAGTGATAGAGTTTGATTGAAGAGAGCAAGCAAACAGTGAAATCATGGCTACTGATGAAATGCTCCCCCACAGTGAACCTTTCTTCACAAACAAACAAAGCAACACCATCAGGGCACAGCAACGCTTTTTGGTTTGTCACATATTATTGGTCTCCAGAAGTTGCTGAACTTATTGGAGCCACTGTACCGAAGTCAAATTCCTCATGTGTTCAACGCACCTGGCCAGTAAAGCTGATTCAGATTATTGCCACATAAACCCGAGATGAAAATGACCGGCGACCATACAAACGGTTCTGAAACTAGTTCTGTGGCCAATGTGGCTGCACAAATCTTTCCTTAAAGTGCAGCCTTTGGTGCAGTGATGTACAGTGAAGCAGATTTCTTTCAGCAGCAGCAATGATGTGCCATTTGATGGGAGCGCTAAATAAACACAAAAACCCTGGTTACTTATGAAATGTTTCCTGAAAGACTGACTACAACTAAGCTTTCCTCACCAACAAACAAGGCAACATCGTCGACATAAGGTGACATTTTTTGGCTTGTCAGAAATGACCAGTCTCTGTAGGTTGCTGAACTTCTTGCTGCATAAACCACAAATGGAAATGACCGGCCGCCAACGAGACAAATGGTTATGAACTAAACCAGTTACTGGCAAGCTACACTTACAGGTGGTTACAAATTAATTATCCAGACCTTTCCTCAATGTGTAGCCAGCTATAGAATTTTAACAAATCTGAGCCCAATTTTGAATCAAGGTAATCATTTAACATTCCTAGCATATGTTCAAAATTATTAAAAGACTGAACTGACATCTGTATTTTGTGTTGGCTGAGAGCCAGTACAAGTTTGAGTGTGGGCAAATGTTGTGTTCATAACATGATCATAACGGACACAGCAGGTTGATGAAACGCATCTGACATTAACATGTTACTTTTTCATGAGCTATTTCTAAGTCAGGAACTGACTTCTGACAGCTGATGCACCAGTGATGTCATTTAAACTGGTAACAGCTGGTGCACCAGTGGCCGGTTGTGTTTTCTGCCTGTGGTGTAGAGGCACTTTTAGCTACTGAGAGTTTCTGACTGTACGTGTTTAATGCCTCGTCGAGGATTAGCTGGATTTACTCCAACGCATAAAGTATGTGCTTGTTAAACAGGACAGAAGTCACAGGTACTGTACATGTGTGAAAGTATGGATGGCATAGAAGGAAAGTGTTCTTGAGACCACTTTGTCCTAAATATAATATCAAGAGTTTAAGAAATAATGACACCCTTTCTAACATTTCACAGACTTGTAGTTCCACACCAGTCTGGGACCTGGAAGGTGCCTGTGTGAATACCCAAAAAATCCATTCACCTTGCCAAATAATTAATTTCCCTCTAAACTATCTAGCTCCCCATTTATGTAGTAGATACTGCAGCTTTTCAGAAGCTGCAAATCCATCACAATCCCTCAAAACAAACTCCACTCTGGAATAAATTAACTACTTACCTAACTATGTTAACTTTCAAATCCATCTGAACATTTCTTGTTCAAAATTCCCCAAACAGGCATCTACTAAACTTTTCCCACAGCAGTGTCTGAATCCCAAAACATCTTCCAAACCCACATCTACCGACATATGATGAGTTTTAGTTGTTGTTTTGTGGTGTCAACTTTCCTCCAACCAGGAGGAGGCGTCGGCGCTGGGGTTTCTGAGCTGCTCGCTGGCCTCTTGGTTGTTTTGCTCCAGGAAACGGTGACATGATAAACAGTGAGCTGCTACGGCACCGTGGAGCTGCCACAACTGGTTATGGAGGACTTTGACCTGTGGACAGTGAAAGAAAAGGACGAATTTGACTAATTCAAACCAGGTAGAATGCAAATTGATTCATCTCGTTCGTCTCTTTGTCAGTTTTTTATAAACGTTTAGGGACCGATCCCACACCTCCATGTACAATATCTCAGATGCTACTGTTCAAATTGTGATGAAATCCCTCAACTGATCCATTGTATTTCCAAATCTGAACAGATTTAAGGCCGCATACTGTCTGTTCATTTATTTTACTCTGACCCCTTCCTCCTACCTCGTGCCCTCGTACCTTGTTTTCCTCCAGCAGCTTGACTTTAATGGACAAGTCGTCTCTGATCTTCTGGTACTTCTCCCTCTGGCTCTGGAATTCTTTCTGGGCCTGCTCCAGCTTGGGTAGGGTGGAGGTGTCGCGGGGCCCCAGGTTCAGCTCCTCCAGGTCAACTCGGTACGCATCGTACTCGATCCTGGAAGATGGAGGAGTTTACACAGATGGTTTAAAAACATACATTATTGTTTTGGTCTGTGGCCTGGGGGCTGGGCACCGCAGATCTAAATGAAATTAAAAGGCAACACTTGAGCTTATGAAGCAGTTTTATGTCTTTAGTCTGTGATGCCAATCACATTCAAGATCAAATGTCCTCAAGTGATTTCTACTTTTACCTTCCAGAACGCTGTGTGCATGTCATATGACGGACGGTAGAGACGTTTACAACTACAGGCTACTTCTACGTTAGCTGGTGGTTTCTTACATTTCCCAGACCCCCAACATTCCGTGTGGTTAGTTCACATTCTGCTTTATTTTCTGCTCCTGTGGGTGCACAGATTAGTTTATGACTTTTCTTCTTTGGATTTCTCGATGCATGACGGATGCATCTGAGCTCACGAAAATATCTGGATCTAGATTATTCTGATTGGCTGCTGGTCACGTCCATTGTTCAGCAACCTGTAGAGGCCAACAAATTTGAGGGGCCAGAGAGAGTCGCTGGAAAGGAAGCTTAGTTGTGCAATTATCTGGTGTGACGGTGTTCGGGGAACAGCGCGCTCCCACCCACCTGGCAGCCTCGTACTGCTTGACGTTCGTCATGGTGTCCTCAATGGTTTTGTTGACCAGTGTGTTCATGTCGGAGGTGAAGGTGTTGATGGCCGCCGTCAGATTCTCGCCGCTCTTAGACAGGAACTTCAGAACTTCCGCGTTCACACCAAACTCCACCTGATTTATGTATTAGATGCACCTGGTTTTATGAGTTCATGCTTTACAAACACAAAAACAACAAATCATAGTAGTTGTACTTCTGTTTCCATATGTTCAGCTGGATTACTGACAGCGAACTCCTGGTAAGACGTTAAAATATTGGACAACAACAGTATAATATGAATAACAACAGCGATTCCTGGTGATGCATCTAAACGTGACCTGGATGAGGATCGGAAAATGTACTGGTGAGGTACGAGGGGCAGGTGGGTGGACAATATGTTCATTTTGTGTGTCTGTGTGTGTGTATATATACATATATATATATGAAACAATTGGAAATATTACCGTAGTTTTGTGCTTTTCAGTATTTCCAAACAAAACCTTTATAAAGTAAATACACTGGTGGATTAACTGATATAAATGAGAAGTTAAGTCCAAGTTTTGTACATGAGGTCAGACGTCTGGAACAATATCAGCGAGGACTTTTTTTTTTTAGCTAGTTTTCACTAAACACACTAAAAAACATGTTATATCTGACCTCACTGGCTACAGCAGGTGGGAAACAGCATTTAGGGATTTTGTAAAAATATATTAAAGCCTTTTTAAAACATTTAAAAAAGGCCCTTTTGCTTCTTCAGAGTTTCCAGACCTGTAGTTGCCCTGTAACAGTGGCACAAAGCAGCGACGATACTTTTTATGACTCACATGCAGGGAGGGTGTTTTGACGCTGAACTCGGTGAAGACGTCTCCCAGGGTCTTCTGGGTAACTGTGAACTGAGCGAGCTGATTGGCCATCGTCTGAGCCAGCTTGGTCATGTGATCGTAGCGTTGCCGGTCATCTTTGAGCAGCTCGAGGCGGGGCTCCAGTTCCAGATCCACCGTACGAGACCCACGGCCGAGCTTCTCCGACAGAGCCTGTCTCGTACACTGTGGACAGAGAGCGTTAGCAATAGTAACGGATTAGGTCTGCTACCAGTGAACAGGGCCACAACGTCTGGTCGGACTCCTCTCACCTTAAACGTGGTGATGCTCCACTTGCGGACTCTCTCCAGCTTCTCACTGGCCAAGGTCCTGTTGTTGCCTTGAACAACCACAGGCCCACTTTCCACTTTCTGTGGCATCACTGGTTCTGGAGGTGAAGGTCAAAGGTCAATGTTGCCATTAACTGACAAAAAAAACCCTATCAGAGAGTCTGATCCATGTGCCGAGTTCCCAGATTGTCTTTTACTGGAAATACACAACATGGTCCAAACTTCCCACATCGTCCATAGTCTTATTCCTTTTTGACTCATTTTGCTTTAACTGCAGTTTCCTTTTGTCTTGATCTGTTCAGCTTCTCATTTTTAGCTCTTTGTCAGTCGATGTTTAATTTTAGTTGCATTAACACTTTTTTTGATCATTTGTGTTCTCTTAAGAGTTAACGATGTGGTGTGCTCAGACTGGAAGTTAAAGGCAATGTGAACACGATGCGCATGCCAACAGAGAACCTGGCACCAGAGAATTTGGGCTGTGTCATCGTTTTACCTTTGCTCTGCCCTGGTTCCATAAAATCCTCTGGCGTGGCCTCAGCTGGACAGGAAGTGACATCACTTTCAGTGTGGCTGCTGTTACCATTTTCTTCCTGTAAAGAAAACGTCCCAGGGGTTAGTACACATGGCCTTTTGTACCAGCCTGGCAAACACCTCACAAACAGGGCCGATCTCTCTGTGGAGTTTACTTCCAGGAGGAGACTGAATTACAGGCACAAAGGCTGATTTTAACCACAAGGTTGCAGGTTCAAATCTCTCCCTCCCTCATCTGCCCAGAAGCCCTACAACAGGTCAGAGCATCCAGGCAAAGCTGTAAAAACTTGACTTTTCTGACCAGGTTTGGGGGTGTCCCTGTTGCGTTTTCTCATGCTGGAAGCTCAAATGTCCAACAGCTCCTGAATGCAACACGAGCCAGTAACCCACAGTAAAGAGGTCAAAGGTCAGAAGTCAAAGCAAGGTGATGAAATGATCACCGTGGGAACCGGAGTTTACTGTGGCCAATCAGAGCCCAGATAAAAGGCTGTGAGGTTGCCATGGAGATGGTAGGTCCATGTTGTCAGAGGTCGCTGGAGACAGGAAACAGTCACCTGACTCTCACACACACTTGTACTTCTATATTTGTGAGGACCCTCAGTGACTTGATGCTTTCTCAGGCCCTAACCAGAACCTAAACCAGGTCTAAACCTCAGGCTGGTCCTCACAGAGACAGACGGAGGTCTGAACCACACCTGTGGAGGGTTCACCAGGCCGGAGGAATTTGGCTATAGAGGTGTGAACCACACCTGTGGGGGGTTCACCAGGCCGGAGGAATTTGGCTCAAAGCTGTGGAGTCGCATCAAAAAGAGGGCATTAGTGATGCAAAGGACACTCAGTGCATCTCCTAGCCCCTAACCCTGACCTCAACCATCACAACCAAATGGCTAACCCCACCACTTCACCCAACCTGAACCCTAAAACCAAGCGTGAGCCCTCAAACAGGCCCTTGAGGGTCTGAGGACCAGACAGCATGTCCTCACAATGAGGATATCAAACAATTTGTCCGCACAGCTACAGAAAATCACGTACCTGCACCTTTGCTCTTTTGAAAGGTTAGAGGCTGCTGATTTCTTCAGCCAGCTTTTAAAGGGACAGTACACCTAAAACTCTTACAAACTGCAATAATTAAAGCTCTGGCCCCATGGGGGCAGCACAAACACACAGTGACGCATTAACATTGATTAGGAGTGGTGTCTGTGTCCATCCGGTGAATCTCAGTCCCTCCCTTTAGCGCCGTGTTCGGTCTCCACCACCTCCTGAGGGAAACATCTGGCTCTGCAGCTGCTGACTGCTCTACTGTGTCTGTCTGCTGGACAGTGGCTGTTCAGAGCATTTTCTTTGAAAACAGCTGAAAACCACAGCGAGAGACAGTGAACCAGGGTGGTCCAACCACTAAACCATGAGCTGAGACTCACTGTAAAGCTCTGTAAAGTCAGGGGGAGCTGCTGATAATAATCTGTAGGTTCAACACCGTCACAGCCATTTAATACATTCTTAAGAATAAAATAGTGATTGTCACTTTAAAAATATTTATTTATTACATGTTGCAGCTCAGTTTACTAGTTTATTGTCTCCTCCTTCTTTAAAATGAACCCAAACCTGCAGTCTGAGTTCACAGATTGCCACCAGGATTAATCTGGGTGGGAAGCAGCCCATAAGGTGCGCTTTACTTTTTACTGCTGACCTCAGCACCTGTGGACCACACCTGTTACCTGCCGCCGCTCCTTCACTACGACCGCCTTATCGGACACTCAAACACTTCACTTTCCCTTTCATTCACACGCTGTCAGGCTTTATCAGCCCAGTTTGTTTTGGGTGTCGTGACAACAGCTGATAACATTGTGGAAGCTGTTAGCTATCCGCTGCAAACCATTTCTGTTCTTTTATGTGCCTGGTTACTGAACATACGACTGTGTGTGGAGTATCTGTGAGGAAGAAATGAACCAGCCCTGTGTTGGGTTTACATGTGTGTAAAACACTGATCTGGGGCTGTAAAAAAACTGACGAGTCATTTTTGATAAACATATCTGTTCTGATTTGAGTTAACCATCATCTCCACAAACGCTTCCCCGGGCTTTGCAGATCATTTTAAATAACCGATAAAATGAGCAAATCGTCCACGACCCAACCACATCGCCCAGAACAAACTGCCTTTTAAAAACAATGTACTGAGTGAACCGAGGAGAAATGCGTCAGGCGTGAACAGCGAGACACGTTTTCGTGGCGTCTCACCGCGGGAGGAGTTTGGTCCTCTGCTCCGCCTCCTCTCTGCTCCGCCACCTCCATCCTCTTCTCCCTGCACACAGAAAACATCTTTCCATTGATAATGTAAAAGAAGTTTGGTTTAGAAGAATCTTCATCTTAGGTGAAAAAAGACAAAATTTGGTGCTTCATATTTTTAGAAGTTCATTATTTTACCTCAGTTATTTGTGTCACGCCTGTAACTGCTGTACCACATAAAAGATTTCATAATATAGTACAACTTGCAAAAGGTATTTGTTCAGTATTACTACAGCAAATATTTCATCATCAGTTAATATTATTTTCCTCCATTGTTTTTCATGTAAAATGGCTGAAAACCTTGATAAATGCTAATTACAACCCAAAGATGTTCTGTTCACATCATTCTCACATTTCAGAAACGAGAACTTATATTTTAGCTTCGCTTTCTGTTCGCTGTCAGTCACATACTTGACTAATTGACTCGCCAGTCGCCAGTCTGCCACAGCTGACACGTAGACAAACAACCATACACCCACACTCACTCCTACGGGCCAGTCAACCTAAGCTGCACGTCTTTGGACTGTGGGAGGAAGACGGAGTACTCGGAGAGAAAATGCACACTCCACACAGAGAGGCCCTGGGTCGGTCCTGGGTCGGCCCGGGCTCAAACCTGGACCCTTCCTACTGTGAGGCAGCAGCGCTAACCACCGCACAGCTGTGCCGCCCAACACATTTCATCTGAAGAGCTAAACTGATCATTGTGGATAAACAGCGTCATCTGGTGGTAAAACAGCAGAAACACATAAATCTGACAACACTGCAGGAAATCTACACTATTTCACCAGTTAAAAAGAAATTTACAATCATCTACTGGTTCAAACATCTTTATGTAACCACATCATTGTTACTCATGTATTATTATTATTACTATCATTTTTTTAGACAGGCTTTAAAAGGTTTAAATTGGGATGATGCACATCTGGGAATTGAACATAAAACCTATTAATAGGCATAAAACTTCCTAAGAAGCATCTGCTGAGAACAGCACTGACTCCAGACGGGTGAGTGGGCGTTAGCAGAGGCTAAATAAACACGAATACTTCAAGTAATCAGCTGAAGGTCACTACTTCACTTTCACAGTTTCAGGAATTCTTTGAGTGAGTTGCTGATATTTCTTCTTTTCTGTTCCCACGACATGAGACACTGAAGTTACACAGTAAAAAGTACTGCAAACCAAAACCAAGACGTTTTCCTACTACTCTGGTTTCACCCAGGGTGATAATTAAAATAAGATGCTGGATCCTCTGTTTTGTTAGTTTTATAATTAATCTGGTCCTAAAAATAATGTTTAACTGTTAAAATGAAAGAAAAGAGTTTAAAGTCGTACAGTTACAGAACTTACTTCAGAGAGCTGTTCCCCAGAACGGGACGACTAAATATTTTATGTTTATCCTACGACTAAATATTTTATGTTTACCCTACTACGACTAAATATTTTATGTTTATCCTACTACGACTAAATATTTTATGTTTAGCCTACTATTTAGTACAAAGCACCACGACCTTCATGCTGCTGTCATCTGTCGCCATCTAGTGGTGATCCACTGTTAGTGCGGCGTGAATCTTCAGAATAAAAGCCTGCTCTTTTGTCACTGTCTGATTTCATGCAAAACATGGAAAAACAACTTTAAACACATCCTGCAAGCAACGGACAAAGTCAATAACTGACATAGAGAGCTCGCACCATTTAACCTACACTCTAACAGCTGTACAGATGCAGGTAATACACACTATGAATGCTTTCAACATTATAACAAACAGCAGCATGAATCATTTGCGAGTCAGGACGTGTTTGCACTTTGAGTCAATCCAAGGGATCAGGCCCCAGCCCTGTTTTTACACTGCCTCAGACCTCAGAGCTCATCGCCAACACCATCAGTTCCTCAGACAATTTATACCTCCGAATTAAAAAAAAATTAAAAAACACCATGGAGTACACCAAACTGAAACATCCCTGTAAGTCAGCACAGGAACACAGTGTTACAGACTTCAGGTTTACTGGAGCAGTGGTAAACTTTACTACGTTCTTGTCATGAGCCATAAAACAACCCCCCTAAAACTTTATTTACAGCAAGTGCAAAGTACAAACATCTCAGGTGTGTGATAGGTAACACAGTATAAAGTGCAGTCTGACCTCAGCAACGTTCATTATACAGATGCACTAGACCAAAATATTAATTCACAAACATTTTATAAAATGTCACTTCACCGTGTCCTGAAAGCTACAAACATAAATGTTGTCAACGTTTCAATACGATACACAACAACACGAGTACAAAAAGCTCCCAGCACATATTAAAATGTAGTTATCTGTAGTTCCACTTTGTAAAAGTTGAACTTCATCTGAGCATCAAACTGTCAAACTGTAAACTGAGCTGCAACCGTTAGTCACTTAGTTCAACAACAGAAAATTAACTGGCAAATAGTTTTGACTGTTGGTTAAAACACAGAAAACAAATCAACTATAATAACAAAACACAAATTAGTTTCTTCATTGTTAAATTTAGCTGTTTTTCCTTTGTCATATGTAGTAAACTGAACTTTTTCAGACAAAGGAAGAAAGTGTGACTTTTACTTTAAAAATCCAATTTATTGATACAAACAAAACAATTAACCATCTGAACCAATCAAGAAACTAATCAGCAGGTTGATGGATAATAAAGACAACCAGTAGATTCAACCGTAAAAGATTCACCAAATAAAACAAATCAACTTGTAGACAAACTGGAGAAAAAGACCAAAAATAAAAGCTAATTCTGAACATTTACATTTTCATTTAAAAGTTACTTTGCTATAAAAGTAATACCAATTTAATTTAGTAACTTCAGACTCAGTTTCTAGGCTCATCCAGGGTAAAACAACAACCCAGCAAACTGTTTATATCAGTGATGGTGTAGGAGTACACACCAGCATCGTTAACTGGCTCAGTTTTACTGGTGTAGCTCCAATAAACTGGTCAAACCAGAGTAAAAAGGTTCGTTTGTTGACGTTTTTAGGTTTGGACTGTTGTGTTTCCTCTGGCTACACTAACTGTTTCGTCACATGTGAAAGTGAACAAACTGTGTTTCCATATCAACAAATGATGAGAACAGATGAGTTTGGTTTTCCTCTTGGTGACTTTAGGGAAACCGGCTAACAACAAACACACAAACGTGACAGCTCATCTCGTTTTCTTACCTTCGGGCTTTAAAAATAAACTCCTCCTGTAAACTTTGTTAGTTTTCTTCTTCTAACCGTTAGTTTTACTTCCTTTCATCTGTTTAGCTCCTCACTTCCAGTCGCTGTGAACAGAAAACTAAAAAGTTAAGAAGCTAAAGCAGGAAAAAGTCACACACCCGGAAGTGTTTCACAACCCTTTGAGTTTTCAGCGGACGCTCGATATTTTCCATCGAGCTTACCGGAAGGGCGGTGACACTCACAGCGCAAGACAATTAAAGACCCGGATCAAACGGGCGGTACCGATTTTAACAACAAGCGCACCTTTAAGCGTAAACCAAATGATTACTAAACTTAAAACTCGATACAGTCAAGATGAAACGATCTTTATTTAACTTTAGAAACCTGAGGTTTTTATTTTTCCCTGTGTGAGAAATTACTAAACTTAAAACTCGATACAGTCAAGATGAAACGATCTTTATTTAACTTTAGAAACCTGAGGTTTTTATTTTTCCCTGTGTGGAAAAACAACCTACTTTCACAAGTTATTAATTTTTAAAGATATACATATTTAGATTATTTCTAGGTGAATTAGTGCCCTTATTTTAAAAATATTTTATAGTAGAAGCCTATGGTTGTCTTATCATAACTGTGCTTTCATCTAGTTTAACTAGTTTTGCACCGCATCACAAAGAGAAACCCTCCTGTTTGTAGACCTACTTTGCAATCAACCTATTTCTGATTCAAAAGGTGAAATTTGTTAAAACTACAGGAAAAGACAAGCAAACTCATATGTTCCCACCAGGGCCATAACCTGGAGTTTTCAATCAAAAGACGAATTCCCAAATTTAAGACAGAAACACGGGGTCAGAAGGACCTGACCTCTGTACCCTCAGTGTCAGCACCGGCTCAGGTGTATGTTCATAAATCTGGGGCTATCCTCAAGAGAGCGCTAGTGAAACTTCAGACTTCGTTTGTGTCATTATTGTTCTTTGGGCCACTGAGTCAACTTTAGAAAGTGTTAACATGCCAGTGTAGCGTTTACAGTTTATTTCAGGTGCCTCAAAGTGGGCGAAGTGAAAACAACCAGCTGGATTTGCAGTTTTTAATCCAAAATCAAAACCACCTTTGTACTGATTTTGAAAACATTAGTAGATGTCATAACAGAATACTACTAGGATCAGTACATCATTTATATTTTGTATGTTTAGTAGCATTTAGAAAAACCCTGGAGGTCTGCAACCCAAGCTGAGTCTTATTGGACTTGAATCAGTCAAAAGGTTTTGGCTCATGTCAAATTCAGTTTTAGCAAAGATATGTGGGTTTTAATCTCAGGGCTGTGGAACATGTGGAGATAACACACCGAGGCTTAACGAAGCAAAGAAGGTTTGATTTGACAGTAGAAAATGAATCATATTGTTTTGCACTGTGTCACGTCATGCAGTGTCTTTGTGGGCGGCACAGCTTCACCACAGCAGCCAGTTTCCTCACTGCAAAGATATGTGGGTCAGGTGAACTAGGAAGTTGCCCCTAGGTATGAACTGACTTGTCTCAGCAATGGACTGCAGTACAGCGTGTACTCTAAGTCATTCTTTACCTGCTGCCACTCGCTGTTACCCTGAACACAGTAAGCAGATGTAGAAAACCCATCACGCTGCTGCATGTAAAGTGCAATGGAGTTTAACATATGGGATTATATAATACTAACTACAATGCATCTTATTGTGTTTCTACTGGTTTAAAGTTATAGAACACTCCCATTTTACCAGGTGTTATTATGACTTGTCAGGTGGTTGGAGCTGATGACCACTGGTTCAGACACGGCCTCGTAGTCCTGTTCAGTCCTCCATCCACGATTGTTACACATATTGTATATTTACATTAATCATAAACTTAGAACAGAGAACAAATTGGTGATACCTTCTCTTTGAATACATTTCTTTGCCTGCAGCAACCTGCCATATTGTTGATTGTTCATCATTGGTCATTGTTTAGTGACCATTCTCAGGGCACATACTTCTACACAAGTCGCTTTTACCATGTGACACTAATGTCACCTCTAGTACAAGTAAATAGTCGCTGTGTGTTCAGCCATATTGTGGAAGAACCAGAACACGCACACACGCACACACACACACAAGTGACACCTGAACGCCTCGTGACACACTGGGAGACGCTAGTGGGAGCGTGAGTCCTGGATTAAGTTTCCACTGCTGGGATTCCTGTGTGCTGACGGTGCGAACACATGCACACAGGCCATAACTCACTGACATTACACATTAGGTAGTGCACACAAAACATACAGGTAAGTTGATAAGTTATAGATCAGTTATTCATTTACTAGATTCTTCTTTAATATATTCTGCACACCAGACTGCATAGAGCTGAATACACCCTCATGCACACTAAGACAAGGGGATTATTACATTAAGTTGTGTGTACGAAAGTGTGTAGTGTGGGAATATCCAACTCTATGCAGACTGATATTCAGTACATATTAAGGAAAAATGAAATTAAGCCAAATAATTTAACAAATTCGGAGGGGGGGGGGTTGCACCTGTCAAGAACACAATGCTCATATTTGACTACGACCATCGCAGAGAATCATGATGCTGAATGTTAAGAAACTTCACTGGAGGCTTTTCTATGAGGCCCCACTGAACATGGTACAGAGTCACTCACTGCTTTTCCCATAATTCTACTGGTTTGTTGGCACCATGTTGCCTTTATTTATTTATTTAAGTGGGTTGTGGAGAGGAAACAGGGGAGACGGGGGAGGAGACTTGCAACAAGGGTCGGCAGCTGGACTCGAACTAGGTAGAATGGCAGATAAACTAGGCTGTTATGCCAAAGTGTGGCCGATACAGAAACAGAGAACTATGGGGAGTCTGCATCGAAACCACTCTGAGATGAAACCAGTAAAAAGCTGACACGGGTCTGCAGAACAACGTGTGCAGACAACAGAGAAACAAAGTGAGGCTTCAGTTTAACATGATCTTTATTCTTGTGCCGATCTTCTCATGGACAGTCTCTCTCTCAGGGGTCAAAGGTCACATGTCTGGAGTTTCGGGGGGATTTAGTGTCCTCGTTAAAACCAGTTCAGCAGCTCATGATAGCTCGCACAGGGGATGGTCCAACTATATGTTTAAATACTTTGTATTTGCTCTGTGTTTTAGTAGCACGAGCTGCACAGAATCGGCTTGGCCCTCGTCCTCACGTGCACAGTGTCCCGACTACTGCAACAGAGCGGACGACCAACAAAGACTGCATGGAGAGTTTTGGCCGGTAGAAAGAAATTTTTATGTCTTAGCCACGATGGCGGGTAAAAAAATAACACTGTGTGGATAAATACAGACGCAGTCAGAGGACATACAATTAAAACGTTACAAACTCTACTGGATATTCATCGATTGTCAGTATGTGTCTGAGCGACCTTAGACAAAATAATACTGAACAGTTAAGTCTTTCACTAGTTATCGTATCTTGTATTTGTTGTTAGATGTGATTCTTCTCTCCGCCCCACTTCAATAAAACAACACAAACTTTTTTGACTGATGCACTTTTTTTACTTGCATCTAAAAGTAAAAATTTTTTTACACAAGTTATTTTAATTTTACTTGAGTTCCATTTCTTCACTGTTTTCCATCCCTGGCAGATACTTACTTTATTTAACATGTCTAATACACATGTGACATAGTTGTTGTTGCGGCTCAGTGTGGCTGACGGTCACTTGTCTAACTCTGCTGGGGAAATTCAACCCCCTCTGAGCTCAACAGGAAACCAAAACTCTGTTTCCTACTTCTTTGGAGGTTTGATGGTAAATTTATACGATGGCAACAAACTGCCATCAGTGTAGAAGATTAACAACCATCATCAGGGGGATTCAGGGACGTTCTGAGTCTGAAAAGGATCAAAAGTCTTAACGTCCTTTGAGTCAAAGTCATGTTAAACTGACAGGGTGTTGTCGTGTGAGCGTGTGTGCGCTGTCTACGCCCATCTCCCACTTGAAGCGAAGTTTCTGCTCATGCTGTAGACGACAGTGGAGCTCTGATGTTTCCCCCAGGCTCCAAATGGGACGATGACGATGGTGGCGTTGTCCTCGGAGCCGTACTGCAGCGCCTTCGGACACACAGCAGGTATCACCACTTAGACAGTTGTCACTTCACAGCAGGTATCATTAGTGAGTCAGTCAGTTTTCCTTCTGTATGTATATTTCTTTTTATTTTTACCTATTTATCAATAAGATGTTATAAGTGTTTATGCTTCTCAGGGAGAAGCAAAGTCAGTTTTGTTGTACTACAAAATGTGCTATGACAATAAAGGTATCTCTTCTGCTCTATTTCCTACATTTCCCAGAATGCCTCTCAACACATATGAGCATATGACTTTTTCTTAACTTTGTATTTGCTGTAAAGCACTTTGTAACTGTGATGTGAAAGCTGCTACACAAATAAACGTATTATTGTTATTATTATGAACGAGCTGTTCCAGGATGTGTAGCTGCACAAGGACCGACTGTAAGAGCCTTTTCAGAACCGAATATAATGCCACGTCTTCTAATGTCAAGCTATTGATTACATTTTGCATTATTAATCAGAATCTCAATCTCATAAGTAACTAGTAACTCCAACTATAAGGTAAATGCAATGGAGCATCCAAGTAAAGTACAAGTACCTCAAATATGTACTGAAGTACAATACTTCAGTAAATGGACATGGCTGCTTTACATATTCAAAATCTAAATGGTTACTTTCTCTCTAAACTTAATAAAATGACATATTATCTGTACTATAATAAAAGTTATAAAGGTTCTGAATGTGGCTCAAAATCGCCACAGGTTATGGTGCAATGCATTCTGGGACACTTGGCTCCCGCAGTCTACACAGTCAGCTCACAAGCATCCTTGATAAAACAGATCTGTACTCGGCTCGACTAACGACTTCGACTTGTAACATTCAGAAGGCCCCGGGATGAGAGAGGCCCTGTATCCACCTGCTGAGCGATGACGTCCGCCGCCTCTGTGGGGTCTTGGCACTGGCTGATGATGTCACAGATCTCCTGGTCACTCATCTGGAAGTTGATCCCATCAGTGGTCAAAGCCAGGAAGGCGTCGTTGGCATGCTGGACCTGCAGAGACAAACAGAGGTTAGGACTTCCTGTTTCCATGCAGCATTCAGTCCTCCGAGGTCGGTCCGTCCAACTGAAATACCTCAATAGCTGACAGATTTGGTTCAGACCCTCGTGGTTACGGAGGAGGAGCCCTAACAACCCTGGTGATCCTCTGGCCTTCCAGCCAGAGCGCCCAACAGGCCCAGTGAAACCTACTTGCTAAATGCTGCCATGCATCTTGTGGTTGTTCACCTTCACTTTCAGATGAAACAGTAAGTTATTAACCGATTTCATTTTTAGTTTTAAATCAGTTGGATCAATTAACCATTTAAGGAAAGCTACCAACTGGTTCCAGCTTTGTAGCTTTGCAGCACATGCTATGCTTTTGGTCTGTGCCACTGTGTGCGTGAGGTGGGCTGCCGAGAACTGTAACCGCGAGCATACATAATCATTTTTATAACTTTAATGAAAATTTAAATTGTAATAAAAATAAAATATTGTATTACAATTTTACATTTTCTGTCTCTTTTTTAACAGATCGCCAACTATGAAGTGCAATATTTGTACTTCAGATATAAACAGGAGCAACAGGTAACAGAAAGAGAAGAACATCTGTTAGTCTGAGCACACAGTTCTGTTTCAAGTGTGTGGGTTGGATACACTGTACATACAGATGCAGTAACTCCCTCCTTGTGTACATTTGTCAGAGGTTTGGACATAGTTTTCCCTTCTACAAGGTGTTTCTGTAGATCCTACGTACACTGTTCGTATGCCAGATGCTTCCAATGGGCGAGTGAACATGTGCCCGGTACAGACGGGAGCGTGAGCCTCGCTCGAAGTGCACATGAGATGCTACGTGCAGCACATGCTATGCTTTTGGTCTGTGCCACTGTGTGCGTGAGGTGGGCTGCCGTGCCTCTAAATCTGATGGGTACAGAATCAGAAACCTCAGTGATCCTCCGGTCAAAGGTCAAGGCAGACCACACTGAAAATCTCCGTCCATCGATCAGTGCATCGTTACCAAACAGTGTACAAAACATCTGCAGATTAAAACTGTTGTCTTACAGGTTAAACCTCAGGTGAAGCTGCTCTGGGACTCACGGTGAGTCTTCGTGTTTCCGGCTCAGCGATGACACCGCTGCTTTTCAGGTGGAAATCTCCGATGCTGCGTGTCATGGCGAGCTGGCCGTTAACATTAGTCTGACCCACGCTGTTCCACGTCACGAAGCCGCCAAACCTCTGGATCCTGGACACAACACACACAGAAACAGTTGTTGTTTGGTGTCAGTCTGTGTGCTAAAAGATCTGTCCCTCAAATGCATGCTGTTACTTTTTATGGCCTTTAGATTTCTGGGTGTACTTTTAAGACAAATCAGCAACATGTCAGGACAGTTAGGACGTCTGTAGGTCGCCCACCAAAGTGTTAACGTGTTTGGGTGAGGTCCAAAGTTAAACATAGCCTCGTTCTGCCGTTACCTAACCCAGCTGCTTTGAGCTGGAGGGAAACCAAACCAGTGCAGCTCTGCGCTACATACTGGATGACCTGGACCTCATGCATGCTGCCAGCCACCGTCCAACTACTGCAGAATCTATTTATACACAACAACCTGAGCGGCTGCTGCTGGAAACCTGAACCCTGCTGCTCTGCTGTTCACTCTAACTACAGCTAATTATGCACCTGATTGTTGATCAAATCTTCTTCCTGTTTATTTATTTTAGCTTCCACAAAGCTTGTCCCCTAACCAGAAGGTCAGTGGTTCGATTCCGTGTCCTTCCCAAGTGTCCTTGGGCAGGACACTGAACCCCAAGTTGCCCCCTATGGTTAGAGCAGCGCCCTGCAGGGACAGTGCCATCATTGGTGTGTGTGCGTAACATATTTGGCCAAAAAAGTGATGATCATAGTACTAATAACAGGAGTAGCTGTACTGGTTATAGATGTAATACTGTTGTTTTACTGAATACAGGGAGTGTGTACCGCTGTCTCTCGTCCTTGCGGTCAGGAGTGTGGTCTGTTGTGAGTTTGCTGGCTCGCCCCTTCCTGCACAACACTGCCCGACTGTCACCGACGCTGCCAACCACCAGCTCCACGCCATCCCGTAGCATAGCAACCGTTGCCGTGGTGCCGGCTGTCAGGAAGGAGGCTGTGGACAAAGAGAAGGAGGAACACTGTTTTAGTGTCGGGTTCACTGTTAACATCCAATTTGAATGTGTTTTTGTTTAGTTTTGGTTGTTGGCAACATTCTTATACATATTTGTCAAAATACAACATACCAACTATGTCAGAGTTAAAACAGTGAAGCCCTGGATGAAATGAATTTATTGTCTCTGGTGTTCACACAGTGCATCAATCAAAACACATGACATTAGAATATATTAGGAAAAAAACAAACCTCTATTTCACTTCTATTTCTTTTCAAAGCCTATCATAGCATGTAATAGTAAAATCTACTATGTGCACTACTTCCGTCCTCACCATTGTTGAAGTAGCTCAGGTGTGTGTGGAGAGCCTTGTCAGCATCTACAAAGGCTTTCTGTAAAACTCTCTCCAGATCCTCCTCCTCCTCCAAAGCATCTCTGCACAGAAATTAGCCAACAACTGTGCCAATGTTGCATTAAGCCAGATTTATGCTTCTCCCCAGATGCATGTAAACAATTATGCAGACCTATGCAGAGATGGGTGTTATGGGTAACTCAGCAGCTGAAACTTGCCTAAGTTATCGAACCTTTTATCAGGTCATTTCTGTTTCAAGTGGTGTGGGTTGACATGCCCATCTTCATCACTGTGTGGCCTAAAAGTTGAATTAGCTTAGCTGTCTCTCTCCTGATCAAAACAGACATGACTCTGTAAACACATCCTCTACACTGTTAGCATACGTAGCAGCTACAGTATGTATCATGAATCTAAACTGTCGACCTCTTCACTTGACATTGTGCTGCTGTGATGCTGCTGTAGAGTTTATCACAACCAGGCATCCATAGTTTACGCTGTAGCTTCAGGAAACAGGATGTGATGGAGAGGCAAAGAGCGCTTAGGGGCGATTTATGGTGTCCGATTGTTTTGAGCCTCACTAGACCCTCCAGGCTGAAAAGTAGCGTAGCTTTAAGGCAGTTAGTATCATTGTAGGATTGTCCTTCATTTATGTTTGTAAATCCAAGTTTGCTTTACCAGTGATTCATTGTAGAGACTTGATTACATGGTCACCATGGTGACAGTGGTTTCCATTTCCAGATTTACTCAGTAAACTACTCATTCCAGTATAGAAGAAACACGTGCACATCTCCAAACTTGTCCCATGTACCTTCGTTTGCATGCAGCACAGAGAAACATAATTCTACTTTACAAACATTCATATGTTTAATTGTCATGTGAAAAAAACATGAATAATTTTGAACCTGATAAACTTGTCCATGAAGGTGTAGCAGTAGTCGGCGGCGTGTGGGCCGCCGTGGCCATCGAACACTGCAAAGTACAGCAGGTTGTCATGGATACGGGCGAAACGGAGGCGGTCCTCGTTCTGCTTCCTGAGACCCAAAACTGACGCACTGCCGACTGGTGACAGACTCACCTGAGACAGGTAGAATACTGTTTGTATAACAGTGACAAATCATACGAACTGATTAAATGTTTCTATCATCCATCTAGATGACTACTCATTTCCTCATTTAGCCAGTCATCCGTTCATTAATCTAAATCAGCCACTCCTTCATTCATGATTCCATCTTACCTATTATCATCTATTAAAATACTCATTCAGTATTTAGTCAATGTTTTTATTCACTCTTCCATCAATCCATCCATTTTCTACAGCTCATCCGGGGTTGGGTCGTGGTGGCAGCAGGTTCTGTAAAGTAGTCCAGACATACTTCTTTCTGGCAACGTGTTCCAGCTCCTCTGACGAAATTCCGAGGCGTTCTCAGGCCAGATGAGATACATAATCTCTCCAGCATGTTCTGGGTCTGCCCCAGGGTCTCCTACCAGATGGACGTGCCTGGAAGGCCTCCAAAGGGAGGTGCCCTGGAGGCATCTTATCAGGATGCATCTACTCCAGGCCTCTTCCGGAAGTCCAAACTTGGCACCCTAACTAAGGGTAAGTTAGGCCACACTACGAATTAAACTAATTTCGGCCTCTTGTATTCGTGATATTATTCTTTCGGTCACTACCTACAGGTCATGACCATAAGTGAGGGTTGGACCATAGACTGACTGGTAAAATGAGAGCTTTGTCTTTTGGCTTAGCTCTTTCTTCACCACAACAATCTGGTACAATGTCCGCATTTTATTCATTATCCATCCATCTAATTCATTCTTTCATTTCCAGTCATGTAGCCAAGTATTCATCCATTTAGTCAACTACTCATTCAGCCATCCATTTCTCATTCTTTCATTTAAATATTCATCCATTCTTTCATCCTAGTTCACCTGACCCACATCCATCTACGCATCTATTCAACCTTTAATCCATCTACATAACCATTTATTGATCTGCTCACCCTTTAAAGTATCACCCACCTATCCAGTCCTCCTCCCAGTTACCTGTGGAATGGGTTTTCCATATCTGACACTGGAGGGCAGCAGTACTGGTTCTTCTATCCTGTTGTCCCAGATACCGAGGGTGTCCAAGGTCACGGGTCGGCTGCTGTGGTCACTGCTGAACTGGACTGAGCCACTGGCTCGCCGGATGCCCACCGCCCCTAACACCCCACCCACCTGCAGGGTGATCAGTCACACAAATATTGGACTATTATTATTATTGAATTATTCTTATTATTTTTGTGGGTGGGTGGGGGGCTATTCTAGTCCATATTTCTCACACTTTTATTTGCGAGCTCATTATTTAACAGTGATGCATATTTATAGATTCACCTGCCCAGAAGCTGTGGAGGTCTCAGGTGAGGATCTTAGGGTGAGGAGAGTTTGCCTGGAGATGGTTGTGCGACCACAACGCAGCAGATTCAGCAGCACTGCAGACGACATGGCTGACTGTCTTTAATAGGTGTGGAGCTTTAAAAACATGAAACACCTAGCGGGGGGCAGATTTCTGAAAACAGGGAGAAAGAACAAAATGAATTTAGCTGGGGATGCAACTAATGATTGTTTTCATTGTAACTTATTCAGTAAACATTTTTTAAATTAAGCATTTAGTCCACAAAATTTTTAATTTCACAAATTTTCACAAAGGAGATACTAGAGTTTAATCCTTTAGACTGGCTGACATTAACCAGTGTCATCTTCCTCATAGTCACACCTTCCATGCCTCTGTATTATGTTTGTATATATGTGTGTGTAGTCCACAAATAGCCCTCCATCCCCTGCTGTGTTTCAGCAGCATGCTGTCCCCTATCAGTTACATGTCAAACAGATAGAGGCTCTAAAAATACTGAGTCTGACTCCATTAGAAAATCAGAGTTTTGCTCTAAACCAATTCACAGAATAATTTTAAACCAATATTGTTTTCTGTTTTTGAGTTGTTAGTTGTAGAGTTTTTCATTTTGAAGGATGGTACTTTGAAAAGGAAACAAACAATAACAAACCAAACAAGCAATTATAATATATAACCTAGGCTTTCACCTCTTCCTGATTTCTCTGTGATACAGTTTACCAGTGGTGTGCCAGGTTAAATAAAGGACACTAGGTTGATAAAGTTGATGATCAATACCAAAAAAACCCCATTGATTGCTTCCCCACCTGCTGATATACTTGGATTTAAACTCACTCTGCAGTTCAGACAGTTAAGTTAGCTTTATGCAATCAGTCCGTGTGACCTCCAAGTGGATCACTGTGTCCACATTCAAACACGTAACCTCTTGTTGTTGGTAAACCAACAATGCAGCGTGTGTATATTTGGGTGTACATGTTGGTGGAACAAGAGGCTGCACACACCATCACCTAAGTGCAGGATCAAAACTTCCCATCCTCATTCTGTTTTGTAAAGCCCAGCACTATCTTAGATATTAAAATTACAGTGATGCTGCTCAGTCATATGTATATTTATGAACGATACAGCTGATTGTTGGAATGAACATAAAACCATATTTTGATAATATTTAGATGAAAAAAGCAAAAATAAATGTGGAAAAAATAGATAAATTGCCACATCCACCCACATTACACCCCCAGTCTACAAAATGTACATTTTGTTATCAGATTTGGAGGTGTGATCTGTAGCTAGAGTGAAAACACAAACACAAACATTTGTTTCTCAGCCAAAAAACTGCAAAAAGTAAATGTGAGAAATATCTGAAAAGATTAAAACTAAAGAAACATACTCTACCTGAATTAAAGATTACCATACACACACTCATACAAGGCAGCTTTTGTAATATTTTACTGATTGCATAAACTAGGCTAATAAAGTATTGAAAGTACCAGATTTAAGATAAGCATAGTAAAATTACTACAGTATTATTAGAAATAATTCTACACACAACCACACAACGTGCCACTGTAAACTCAGTGTAACGTTATTATTAACAAAACAAACACTGTTAACACACTAAAACAGCTCAATCAAAATGGCGGCTGTAAACGGTTTAAAACTCACCTTTGTTGTTTCTGTCTTTTTGGTAATTTTCCCGCCTGTCGTGTTCGGTCTCCCTGGCAACAGGTGTCCAGCGCTCCGGCAGCTGCCTCGAGCTGTCGTTAGATGTCCGCGCGCTGTGGCTGTACAGCTCCCCCGGAGGGATTTAAACTGAGGCACAGCCGTCCAATCAGGAACCGAGACGTCCTGACGTCAGCAGGTGGACAGCGTATGCTTGTTTCTGGCGCCAAGTCAGGTCGGGATGACGGTCTGCTGAGTCTCTGTGCTAACATAATTTAACCTTCTGATGCATGAATTATGAAAGCCTGAGTCAAAAAAAAATTCTTTAGTGTTTCTATTCTTATTAGGGCATGAAAAAAAAAAACAAATATTCACTTTTTGTGATTTTTTCAGAGTTACACACATGTCCACTCCAGTGGACTACATGTGCCTGAGCACTCAACATAAAACAGTATGAACTTAATGGAAAAATGAAATAAATTGTGTTTTATGACAAATCCATGAACAATTATTTCTTTTTATGCTTTGAAAAACATTTTCACATTTCATTAGCCTATTGTTTAGGCCTGAATAGGAAAACAAACAATGCTCACAACTGTGAAGCTTCTACCTAAAGCTAAGTCTAGGTTTCAAAATATCTCCAACAAGAAGAACATTATTCTGAGTCTCCATACTTCTTTATGGATGCAGGACTGGTATTACCATGTCATTATACTAGTATTAATAGGTTTTCAGCAACAAGAACAGACATATTTGCATCTCTGGACACTTCTGTAAAATGCTCTGCATGTCAGTTCATCAAACATAGGCAGTATGAAAGTTGACAAAGCATCCAGGGCACAGTGGCACAGAACACTGCATGCAGATGTATTTGGTTTTTTGAGTGCATGCAGCATCGTGGCATCTGTTTGCATTTTTCACCTTGGTGAGTTGGGGCCAGTGATTTCCTGTGTAAAACCTGACCTCACGGCGTACTTTAGTGACTGCTCTGCGCTTCACTGGAAGTGGGGTTGCACTGGGTCTTCCTCTTCTGCTTTGCTGGAGGGACCCAGCATTTATCAGTGCATGAGCTACAGAAGCTTTGAAGAGGAAGAGATTCATCTTTTCCAATCCAGACATCAGGTAGAGGCGCCAGGCATTTACAACGGTCACATCCAAAAAATGAAAAAACACTCGGATGTACCACTGCTTGTTCCTACGTCTGTGGGGATACATTGCCAATCTTTTTCTTCTTGGCCCATCTCTTAGCCACATCTTCAGGGGACTGGCCGGCACAGGACGAGGCCATGTAGATGACTGAACTGTCGAGCCAACGTGTGACAGTGATATCTGCATTATCACTGACAACAGACCAAGCCCCTCTGCCCTCTTCTTTCAGTTGCTGTTTGCTCTTGAGTTTCTGATTTGCTCCCTTCAGCCTATTTGCTCTGCATGTACTGTACCTGTGGCATAGATGCCACAGTCTTTCAAGGCCTCAATGATTGGAATGCTGCAAAAGTAGTTGTCAAAAAAGACCTTGTGGTTTTTGTGCTTTATGTCATCACAAAAGCGCATCACTACATCTCCAGCCATTCCCAACCAAATGACGCGATCACGTCTTGCAGAGCCCTGGTACACGTCGAATCTGTACATATAGCCTGAGGTCCCTGCCCTCACCCATGCTTTCACTCCCCAGGGTTTGGGCTTTTTTGGCATGTATTGTTTGATGGACAGAAGGCCTGTGAAGGGAATGATTTGCTCATCAATGGACTGAAATTCTTCAGGGTCTGCTGCAGCCTTGAATGTTTCCTGAAGTGCAGGGTGTTTGCTGGCTGGCAAGTATAGTTATTCACAAAGTGAAGGTAACCCAGAATTTGATCATATCTGTTCATAGACATGGCGTTTGCAATTAATCTGAGACGAAGGCCATCCTCACTAGACCAGTACATTCGTGCCCTAGGGTATCGAATGTACCCCATACCTATAGGGTTCTTCTGGAATAGAAGGTCTGACAGGTTATTCCAGCAGCAGTCAACAAGTGTGGCTTACTATCGGCCATCTTGGATTCAGAGGAAATTCACTTGCAGTTACAAAACTGACCACTGAATAAACGTCAATGGAGTGGTGCAGTAGAGAGCACTCTAGTGACTGATATGCAGTTCCACCATTGAAACCAGTGCATTTAGGAGAAAATGACTTTTGAATAGCTGTCCACTGCAGTGACCACTATGCACCAGAGGGTTAAAACAAGAAGCAAACAAAGGTTTTTAATAAAAATGTCTAATAACTGTAGTAAGGCAGGTTTTCTACCACTGAAATCATCACTGTGGTGAAAGTTTACAACTATGGGGTATTTGATTCTACTGGAGTATTACACTACACCAGAAGAATTCATTTATCTAAGGAAGCAAACACCACATTATAGAAATATTCAATTAAAACAGTCGTGTGTAAGACAAGCCCAGTAAAGATCACTGTTGCATATTAGACAACTTGTGTATCTAATTATGATAAAAATATCTTATAACTGCAGACAGATTGGCTCAAAATTACAAGATCAGATCTCATAATTGAGAGAAATGTATCTTGTGAGCTATATGTTAGTTGCTGTTGTTTTGTCTTCGTACTTACAGCAGGAGAAAAGGTTGAGCTGGTTACCACTTGTCACTAACCAGGACAAAGATGTGATGGTACCTGATTGAATTTGGTTTTAATTTGTCCAGAGACACAGATATTCATGTCATTGAGTAGTGTTTAAAGTGATTATCAAATTATGCAATAACAGCTCAGTGCATGAGGTGACTGTGGTTCAGTGGGTAGAGCAGTGACCTCCCTACCGGAAGTTCGAATCTCAGTGCCTGCAGTCCACATGTTGAAATGTCCTTGGCCAAGACACTGAACCCCAAGTTGCCCCCGATGGTTAGAGCCATCGGGGAGAGTTGACGCTGCCAACTCATGGCTCTGTACCGGAAACATTCTTGTGTAACATACGTGGCCAAATAACGGTGATTAGTTCACTTATGAAGTGAACATCTGTAAGCCATAGCCCCCTCTAAACTGGTTTCCTCCATCTCAGCTTTGAA